AAATTTGTTTACGTTTGTGCAAATATCTCCATAACTGCAGACGCGATTTTATTGAAACTTTGTACGTTTACAAATGAAGTTGTCATAAATAACATGTCAGTTTTTCAAAACATTCTCATCGCTGTGTGAAGAGTAATAGGTATTTTTTACAACTTTTTTGATAACTTACATTTGAGCCCATGTTAAAGACGACGAAAAAGGGACACTTCATGAATTTTTTTCTCGAAATCTGTAGACGCGGTTGTGCTCAAATTTGGTGACTACATCCACGCACTGTTTCTTTACAACATATATTTCTTTTAAAATATTTTCATCGTAAAGTGAATTGCAACCCAACTCCCTTAATTCAATCATCCTGCCTTCCTCTGCCATCAAAATCTTTTATCCAGCCCTCTTTACGCCTTATATTTGTAATAATTTAGCACTCTTGAAAACATTAGCCTTAATTTTTGTTCTTATTTAGCTTCATTTTTTGTTTGTAGTTATACTTTCGCACCTATTAGTATTTTCCGTAGATCTAACACTTGCTCTCAATCTTAGAATTTAAGTACTATTTTGTAAGTTGCCAGTAACTATGCAACTCAATTTGGCCAGATGTGGATCTTCCCCAAGACATAATAAACTTCTTAAACACTCTTTAAAACTCTCTCTCTCTATTGTACTCGTACAGGTATACCTATAGGCTCATTCGCTGCTTTTGTCAATATTTTGCACTTGTAGAAAACGATGAATTAATTTAAAAGTTAGTATTATCTTTCTCTCATTTTTTAAAAATTGCTTCTCGGCGAACAGGATTATTTAAAAATATAAAAATTTCATCATAATTCAAAGTTTTTCCGGGATCTTCCAATTCTGTTCACTCAATTCCTGCATGTTAACCTGTTTTCAGTATAGAGCCAACGAAGCTCGCGCACGTGCACAATTACGCACAGGTATCCGAAAAGAGACAGAGAGAGAGAGAGAGAGAGAGAGAGAGAGAGAGAGAGAGAGGAGAGAGACAGAGAAAGTAATACACATGAACGTACTGATAAACATATGTATGTACCTATGTGTCGGTAGGTAGTTTAGATAAGTACTCTTTGTCGTTTATTGTTGTTCTTTCTTGTTCTCTGTGTTTATGTGTTCATGAATAAAAAAATTTTAACATTATTTTTATTTGCTTGTTCCTAATCTATAATATTCACTGATAAAAACACACATTCGTAAAAAACTTTTTTTTTAATATAAAAATATGAAATTAAAATTATTTAGGATAAAAAAATAGTACTTTTATATCATAGAAAATTAAATATTACTGATATCAATCACGTATTCTTTCATGTTTCACATCTGTCGGCAGTCCCGAGACCCAAACCTGGTTTTTTATACTATAGCGCACTACGACTTTCTCTGGGCACTCGGCACTTTGGAATTGAGGACGGGTGGGGATGAGAAGGGTTTAGGGGATGTTGCTCTACATTCGCCAGGATAATCAGTCCTGTGGGTCGGGAAACCGCTCGGGAGAAATCCATCTCAAAACGGTCGGTGTATTGCCTAAGTTCCAACCAAATGTCTATATGTCTATAGACGTGACGCCTGAACTGTTACCCACCTCCCACTTACGTTCTTGAAACGATAAAGAAATAGTTAATCGATCTGAAAAATCACCAGCGCAATCAAACGGAATAATAGTCGAGTTTCCACCAATCCGATTACCATCCGCAGCGAACGCTGCTTAACTTCCCAGATCAACGAAACTCCAACTCTACTGCTGCGCTACCATGTCAATCTACCTGTATGCTATACGCTGCCTTGATTCTTATAATATCTGCTCGCACGTTGCGTCTTGTCGTTTGTTTTTATAGTGGCTGTTATTAAAGAGAAACATAAAATAAGATTTTAAGTTTCTTCACTAATTTTTAGCACAAAAATGTTGCCAACAAATATGGATTTTTAACCCTAAATAAATAGGGGATGCAACTCTTGTTGTCTGAATCATCATTGTTTGATCACTTTTTCTCAAATGACACAACTTCCAATTTAAAAAATATTGAGATGGGAGCGAGTTATGTATGATATGGTAAAAGCCGTTCTCGTGGGTGATTTTTAAGGGTAGTTTTTAGCCCTTTGAACTGCATATAGGCAGCTAAAAAAATACGCGTGTAATATTTTTTCATACTCTACTCGCATGCCGAGTTTTAGGAAAATCGGTGACACACTTGCCTGCCTTCTCTTGTCAGAGTAAGGTTTTTTTTGTAAATATACTAGGATAACAAGTAGCGTGCTCAAAACGTTACTAAAAATAATAGTCTACCCCTAGATAGAAGTCAGGGAACAAATGCATTACCTAAGTAAGGGTTATTGGATTAAAAAAAAATGATTTAAACTTTAACAGTTGTTTTACAGCAACGTATCCAGCTAAATCTGAAATTATATTTGATAAAATTGCACATTCAACATGTGCTTGGAAAGCATGTAAAGTGAAGTGGCTACCAGTATTCACTAATTTATTGCTCATTCTATAAGCCATGAATGAAGATGAGATTATTGTTACGTAATCACTAAGTTTTTAGCTATTTTCAAAAAAAATTTCATTTAAATCTTGACGTCGATTATCTAGATATTGCAGGTTATGTATCAGAAGAGTACTGATTCTCATAAGACTGCAAGTTAAAAGTTCAAAAATAAAATTATCAATATCTCACTTCATAAGCTATGAAGAGACTTGAAATTTGAGTCAAAAGTTTTCCATACACTAATTTATCTTTGTTTAAAGTATTACCAATATATTGACGTTAATTCTCGTAGCGAGTGAACTTCCTTAAAAGACATAAATAAATATTCATTGATAAATCATATAAAAACACATGTCTACGCAAAGATAGAAAACAAAATGTACATTCGAAACACATGAGAGTTAATGTTAATATTTTAATTTGCTGAGTTTAAAGTGTATTTCATTAAAATACATAATTTATGAAAGATACAAAATAAAATATTTAGAATAAAATTAGGTTCACGAGAGATATTTTAAAACAAATATTAAATTGTTATATTGTTTATCGAAAAAGTTTTCTCAAGTTTTGTATCCAAATGTGTTTATTGGCTATTGGAAAGTTTACATGATGCCAGATTGCTTGAGGTTCAAGTTTCCTTTAAAACGTAAGCGCCATCTCATCTCGTTCGATTTCTGATCAAATAAATGTTTTTAAGGCTTTGAGAAATATTTTGTAACGGATAAAAAATACATACTCATTTTTTATCTACTCGTTTTTAATCTCAAAACATATTTATTACTCACAAATAATTTTTTGTATCCAAATAAATTCACTAGTAAATTTGATGAATATTCATGCAAATGTAATAATTATTTACTGGTTTTTTAAAACTGTTTTTTGCACATTAAATAAATATTTATTTGTTCATACTTTCTTTAGTTTCCCTAGCGGGGCATCCCCTACACCCTTCCCATCCCCATTCCTCCCTAGCCCCAAAGTGCCGACTGCCCAGAGAAGGACGTAGTTCATTATGATGCATATAAAAAAATCTATTAATATATTATCAGTTACATTAACTAATTTTTGTTCAAGTGAAACAATTTGTTTCAAAAACTTGGAAAATAGTATATCTGAGCAGCATTTTTACTGTATAATAATAAATATTCATTTATTTATCAATAATATGGTAATTTTACAAGAAGTACAAAATTTTTCACACAATTTTTTTCTTTAATTTTAAAAAAATTTTTAAGTAGTTTAACATTTTTATTATTAGCTGTTTTTTCATACAAAGTTCTATGAATAAAGTGGTCTATTTTTATTGCATTTCATTCTTTCACGATTTTTTTATTCCTCAGTAAGGTGATTTTTTGACTTAGGGATATTCACAGTTAACGGAGTAAAAGTTAAGAGAAGTAAGAGGAGTGCAAATATGCAGCAAAGCTGGCAATTTTATCTCATATGGATATACTTATATACACGCTTGTATGTACACTCGACCCTTTCTTTTTTATTTTACTAAAAAAACAACTTGTGGATCCATTTGAAGATTGGATAGGTTTATCATAAAGTAATCTTTCATACAAAAAAATTAGGCGATTTTTAAAGATCATATAAATGCAGTTTTATGTGATGATTTCATTAGTTTAAATTTTAAATTGAGATTTTTTTAAAATTAAACATAAAAAAGGGTACAGTCAAACGATCTGCAATTTTTTTTGGTTATTTTTTATGCTATTTCGAATATTCGTTGACAACTTTCTTTTCTTTGAGTATAATCCCGGTGAGTTAGTGGTAGTCAAAAAAAGGGTAAAATTTTTATCTGTCCGAGGAAACTCTAAGATCAGGAACCAACAAACAGTCAATGTCTGTGACTGTATATTGGAGGGCGGGTCCGTTGCCCAGTATAAAAGAGCAAATTCGCTAGGATTGCTAATTCTATGAATAAAAAATATCTTGAAGTAGCTTTCATTAAAATTAAAATTTGCTTGATGAATAATCCGTCGATCCGTGCAATATCTACAACTATTATTTTCTATTATTGCTTTATTTGTTTTTTTTTTTTTTTTTAAAGGTAAATTATTTTTTTTTTTAATGATTTGTCTTGGTAATTCATTCTTATTCCAAACAAATTTATTCATGTTTCATTGGGCAAAGGTAATTTCTTAGCTAATTATAAACTAAAGACTAGATGAAGTGAAATAAAAATTTTCAATCGATTAAACTGTAAACTAAATGAAAAAATCAACTTATAATTAAGTTCTCGAATAAACTTTAAATAATATTAGGACTCGCAATCACGTATTGAGGGGTAGGTTCAAATAAATAAGTACACTTGATTCTTTGATTTCTTAAATTTATTCAATTTTATTTTGAAAAGGAAATTGTATTTTCAATTACTATATCGTTTACTTAAATTGATCAAGATAATTGGCGCAATTCTAAATAAGCGAATAAATTTGTTTCTTTTATTTCAAAAGATTTTAAATACTCTGGGACAATTTGAATTTTTGCGCTCGGATACAAAAATGAAATTTTATTTCCAACTTAAATTTTCACCTTACTATAAATAAAGTAATTTTAAATTTTCGATAAATTTACGGTGTAAGGTGAAGTTAATACGCTAATACTCCATTGCAATGGATTGACTTTCATTTTTATTTAATACATAGATGTATAGAAGGTCAGTCATTATTGCGCTATCCAACATACCATCACAATTACATTCTCTTATCACTTTTATCCGGAACCATTTTGTCGAGTCACTGGATTTGAAAAGAAAACATACTGTAAGAAATCAAAAAATGAATAACTTGTTGAAAAAAAGAAAACTTAAAATAGAACCATCCTTAATGATCATAGAATAGTTGATAATGAAAAAACATTTATAACCTAATAATTAAAGATTTATGTCTGCTTCGAAAATTAAAAAAAATGTTTGTACAAGATATCTCTGAGATGAATATTTAAATTTTGCGTTTTCTGAATTATATAAGATATTCTAAATTAATTTAGTTATTAAAGAAAAAAAATTTTTCTTTATTTTTCTGGATTTACTGATATGTATTATTTTGAAAAGAGTAAAGCATTATGAAATACGATAAATTTTATGTATTTGTAAAAAAAATGTCTACTTAGTATTACACTTCAATGTCAACTGTAAAAAGTCGTACAGCTATGGTGTACAGTAGCAGGAGTAAATTTCACGACATTTCTTGTGATATAGAGAGATTTTGGAACATAGTCCCATTCCATGCGATAGAAATGCAGTAATTGTGTAGTAATTGAGTGAGAAGTTCTCTTTCATCCAGCATTTCAATGCACTCAATACGCAGTTTGTCAACCTCAGGTAGGACATCGTATATTTCAACCATAGTCCAAGCATCAGCACCTTCCCAACCATTTACAGTAAAACTAAAAAAATTGATAATTACTTGTCGATAAACGCCGATAAAATATTTAGTGTTAGCTATAGTGTGTTATTACCGTCTCCGTTGTGACTCTAAGGATTCACACTCTTCAACTCCAGCTAATAAACATCCTCGAGTACGCAAATTAGTGAGCATAACTTGTCCAAATTTATTTTGCATATTAACTTGCTCATAATTTATAAAAATACTATTAGAGAAAGTTTTAGATAAATACTTTAATAGGAGTGATGTAGCATTAGAGTCAATATATACTAACACACATTCTGAAAGAAATAGCGTTGGTAATGTAAAATCAACTTCAGCTTCTTTCAATTTATTTGCAAGGTCTGATACGTGTCTCAAATCTGCACCCACCAAGTGGTAATTAGCTGCATGAAGGTCTGTTGTAGAAAACCTTATCTCACCATCTTAAAGCACATTATCCATTTTTAAATATTGCAATGAAGCATTAACTAAGTATTATTTCTTATTAAAGAACTTATAAAGTATTTACCTTCCGTATTAAGTCTGTCGATGAGCGGCTTGTGCTTCTTTATATAATAGCATTTCTTTGCAGTAACATTTGGAAAATCGAGTTCTATGAAGTTTACTAGATTAAGTTTTGCATCTTTTAGTTTCCAATAAAGTGTATCAAATCCGGCTCCTAAATTGATAATTTGTCCATTGCCTCCAGATAACTAGAAGAAAGAAATATTTCTATCATTTATGAATACTTCGATCCACAATCATGTGATTGCTTTGTGTAAAATAAAAATATTTAAATTTTATTACAGTATATCAAGAAAAATACATCAACCTATTAAGCACTACAGTATTAGGTTATCCCTAAGAGTCTGCTGCAATTACGCAATTACTATTTTTAATTTTGTTAATCAGAATTCATGGAAACTAACAATAAAATAATGTATTATGGCAGGGGTTGTTGTGAACACGGTCTCAGCTTATATGGATAATTAGAAGATAACATTCATGGATTTTTTACATTCAGCCGATTTTATTCTTTTTTTATTTTAGTATCTGTGTAATATACGAGTAATCGTATCGTCACCAACCAAGTAAGTCAACCAAACTTACGAATTCTCGCGTACCTGCGCCTAATGAGGCTGACGCATATTGTCAGCGAAACGTTGCGCATTAATAAATCAACGCAAGAAAATTTAAATACACTTTACTTGTATTTATTTATTTTCTCACATTTCGCCCCCAACGGATCACTGATCACTTTGCATTTCCAAATTCACCGGAGGGCACTGATATATACTAACAAGCTACTTAAAAGAAGTTTTTTTTCTTGCCACAGACAGTGTATCAAGCTTACTATGTAGTCAGTATCCTATTGCTATTGGCATGCAGAAGGAAAGATAGTATTGTGCTGAAGGACCATTTCGAGTTTGAAGCTTTATTACATGATGCTAAATGTCGTGCTCATGTGTTTAAATGTGTATTATCTAGTTATTTTATGATTAACGATTAAACGAACTTCAGGTGAAGTTCAATTATAATTATACGAATGACTTGTTCAGAAATCACTTAGAAAGTACTTTGTGGTGAGCCCCACGACCCGCCGTATCTTTTGCAAAACAGGCGAGCGCAGTTCTTGCTGGATTTAGAAGCAGCGAATAACAGGATGCAGGTAAATCAGGGTGGAGACCAGGATTATGAGGATGTCCTCCACTATAAGGGTAAGAATTTTCTTGATTGTCTTTTTTTTTCCTATTTATGTAGATAGTGCCAGGAGAAGGATGCCATTTGGCGCCTTAAGGTATGAGAGGTGTAGCTTGTTAATCGGTGACAGGTAGATGGTCCGCGACGGCGCGCTGTCAGTGGGGTATTTTTTTTTTTTTCTTTTTTTTTTTCAAAATCAAATATCTGAAGAACGGATTAAGATAGAATGATAATTTTTGTTGGAGCATACTCGTAAGTTGATGTGGAATACGAGAAAAACATTTATAA